TTTAAGTTCATCAAGAGGAGCACGCAAAGCTTTAGCAAGGGAGGCTGTGACAATGCGTTTACCTGTAAATGGCCTCCGGGAATGCATCACGGTGTGATTGTCAATCAATATGAAGTCACCCCGACACCATGGAAATGCCACTGCAAGCTCCTCCATTAGCCTACCAGCTACCGTTATGAGGCTGGGATCAAGGTAGCTCCCGTCTGCAAACTCTATGGCTGTTTCCCCTTTGTTGCGCGAATCATTCCAGCCCGTGAAAACCGCCACGACCGAGTTAAAGAACGTTTTGCGCCCGGATCGGTTTTCCCCCAGATCGTGCCGCACAGCTGGCAAGACAGGTGAGATAGTGCGAAGACTGCCATCTGGCAACCATTCTCCTGAATAATTTAGTGACTTCAGGATATTGCTGACTTTAGAACGGTCCGATGTCGCATATGTCGACTTCCAACCTCGTCCAATGGCGGAGGAAGGGTCGTCCTCCTCGGGCATGACGCGGATATATCGCACACCCTTCTCCAGCTTTCGAATAAATTCGGGGTGAAGGGCTTCAAGGCGCCTGCAAATTTCCCAAGATGGGAGCACCGGAGTTTCTCCCCCGGTCTCAGAGGGCATATCGCATTGAAAGAAAACCTTATCCGGGAAAGCGGGCACCTGCGCCATCTCGTGGTGGAAAGGAATTTTCTCTGTGGGCGGAGACTCATTCGTTGTGAAAACCCTTGGGGCGAGTTGCCGCCGCACGGCCGCCCCACCCACATAAGGAAAATTTTCAAACCCAAATGTTTCGACTATGTCGTTGAAATGATGTGGCGAATCAATGTGAAAGCCCTTGAAGAGGATGGCTCCGTGTTTTAGCAACAAGTCGTCCAACAACTTAGGAGTCGACGCCAGCACCCACTTAGTCAACCTCTCTTGCAAGGTACCTTCACTGATATTCATCTTTTTATTGGGTCCCAGGACGAGAGGGAACTCAATGCCATCAAAGACTTTTTGCTCAGGGATCCGAATGGACACCACAGCACCATCTTCGGGAAAAGATGCCTGTTACACGTAACGAGAGACAAGTTGGAATTCTCAAATACGCATTGAATTTTGCGCATTTCAAATAGGCCCACGAAGGCACGTGCAGTACAATCCAGAGATATGGCACGTGAGTACAACCCAGAGATATCATTGAAAAAGGGAGCCAGAGGGGGACGCTTCGGCTTCCTAACCCCCGCAGGCATTTCAGAGATGATAGCGTACAAAATACACGAATGTGCCTAGACTCACTGATTTGTGCAACCAAGTACATGCACCTTAATCGAGGAAGATGCTTTGCTTTTTTTCATGAAGCAAAGGACAATTCAAAAGAAGAAATGTGACTTCGTGGGGTATTCATATAAATGACACGATAGATGCAGCACGGTGCAGTCCAGGCATCACCACTTTTCAAGTCATTATTATCATAAAAAGAGTACAAAAACTCTTACGGCACGCAATGTCTGAAATATAGAGCCCATGCTGGTAATGGAAAGCTTTGTAAGGTTGCAGAGTGCGATGTTGTACAAGACTACAGATGCAAAAAAGTAAAACAGAACTTTATGGGTTCTTGGCCGAAATAATTGTACGTAAGACATACACATGTACACCGACCTTACCTGAGAGCTTTGTAAGGTGTCTGTCGATTGAAAGGAAACAGCTAGCGGCAAGAAGAGAATCGTACTCAGCAAAAGAAGCAGCTGGCAGTGGACCACCTTGCAGGTGGGAATTAAAGCCATGATAGGAGCGGCTAAACCTGTGCTCGCTGTTGGGAAAAACCTAGATAGTACCGAAATCAACATGGGGATACAGTTTGTGATGCGTTCATGCATTTAATTAAGCACTCCTTGTCAAGGTGACAGGTCAAGTCACGCGACCTATGAAGTGGAAGAGTGTCTGTTTCCCTCTTTCGAGTGAAATACCAACTCCAGCCAGGATACCAGTTCGCATTGGCCGGCCAGCTGGCGTAAAGCATTAACGAAATTACAAGAAAGGAGCGGGTTCGTCTTCCTCCTTGCCCAAGCCAGCACACACACCACAAGGTCGGGCGCGTCGAGACCGAGGCATGCCGGTGCTCGCCGGCCGAAGACGGCGAGGGAGAGCGAGGGCTCTGCGGCCCGAAGCCGCCACGTTTGTGTCCATGCGAGCCGTACGCCTTCTCTTTTCGGGGAACTCCGGAGACTATTGACAGGGAAGGTGCGCATGTGTATAGTTTTCTCATTCGCCTTGAAACGGTCGCGCGTGCATTATGCCGTCATGTACCTGGCCGACCTCCGGGTGGTACTTTCTCCTGTTCATCACATCAAACATAACGCTAAAATATTATGCTAAACAATTTGAATCTGCGTTTTCACTCCAAGCCCTCATCCAGTGGGTGCGCAACCTCTCCAATTGCACTGACGAGATTGGTCTCTGTAGGACTTCGAAAAGGATTTCAAAAAGGATGGGGGGACGCAAGATAATTGATACCATTCACTCTGTGCTGGCTGAAGGTGGCACGACTTTGTCGCTGGAGTTCTTTCCGGCCAAGACAGAGGAAGGGATGGGCAACCTTTTGGCCCGCATTGAGGACATGGTTGCTCGCTTGCAGCCCACATTTGTGACGCTGACATGGCGTTCAGCCTTTGCGGACGAGAGTCTGTGGCTGAAGATAGGTGGCATTGTGCAACGCGAGTTCTCTGTCGACGTCCTATTACATTTGACCTGTCACTTGCCACGAGCAGACCTGGTCCGTGTGCTTCAAAACGCTAGGGATGCTGGGATTCGCAACATTTTGGCTTTAAGAGGAGATCCTCCTATCGGGGAGGACCGATGGCAGCCTGTGCCTGGAGGCTTTTCGAACGCCGTTGAATTGGTTCATTTGATTCGGGAGCTGCATGGCGACCATTTCTGTATAGCTGTTGCTGGCTACCCTGAGGTTCACACAGAATGCTGGAATTCCCCAGATTTACCTCCATCCGAGCAGAGTTTTGCGCAAGACCTGACCTTTCTCAAGGACAAAGTCGATGCTGGAGCAGACCTGGTTATCACCCAGTTTTTTTACGACGTCCCTAAGTACATAAGATTTCATGATAAGTGCCGGGAGATTGGTATCCCGGCGCACATCCCAATATTACCAGGCTACCTGCCGATTCAAAATTACGCTTCATTTCGCAAGTTTACATCCTGGTGCAAGACCTCTGTACCGAATCCCATTGACAAGGCACTGGAGAAGGTTAAAGATGATGACGAGCAGGTCAAAGCTCTGGGAGTTCAAGAGGCCTTGCGAGCTTGCCGGCAGCTTTTAGACCACGGCCATCGTACCCTCCATTTCTACACCCTCAACTTGGAGTCCACTGTGACAAGTGTGGTCGAGGGCCTGGGACTTCTTCCTAAAGCCAACCTTCGCGAGCTCTCCTGGCAACGTCATAAAGCGTCCGGAAACCGGGTTCGGGCTAAGGGTGGCCCCGCGGAAGAGGTACGTCCCATATTCTGGGCAAATCGCCAGACAAGCTACGTGTCTCGCACCAATGATTGGGACGAGTTTCCGAACGGCCGATGGGGAGATTCTCGTTCACCCGCCTACGGTGAACTGTCGCACTATTATCTAGAATTCAAGAGGCCGAAGGTTGACCGACAAAAGCTATGGGGAATTCCCACGAAACACGAAGATGTGTACAATGTATTCGTTCGATTCTTGGACGGCAAAGTGGGAAGTCTACCCTGGTGTGAACAAGCTCCAGCGCCGGAAACGTCAGCCATCTCATCGAACCTCAAATTTTTGAATGCAAATGGGTATTTGACCATCAATTCCCAGCCAGCAGTGGACGGGCGCCCCTCAACAGATCCTGAAGTGGGATGGGGCGGCCCGGGAGGTATTGTCTATCAGAAGGCCTACGTGGAATTTTTCTGCAGCCCTGACAAGCTCAAAGTTCTCATGGAGGAAATGGACAGACATCCAAATTTGTCATATCATGCTGTGAATGTCAAGGGTCAAGAATATACTAACACGAGAAGTGCTCGTGTGAATGCGGTTACCTGGGGCGTATTCCCTGGGCGCGAGATTGTGCAGCCGACAGTGGTTGACTCTGTGTCCTTTGGGGCCTGGAAAGACGAGGCATTTGAACTCTGGCTCACACAATGGGCCACAGCGTACCAAGAGGGCTCTTTGCCACGAATGCTGATCCACGAGATACACGACACATTTTATCTCGTTAACATTGTCGACGAGAACTACGGTGGGGATAAGACAGCAGTAGCCGAGACAGAAGATGCGGTTCGCCTGGAGCACAAAAGCGAAGGAAATGACGTCACCCGTCTGGAAAAAACAGTAAATCGCCATCTGGACATCTTCTCTCTTTTTAAATGTGTGATTACGCGGGGGTTCACCTCTGAGCAGCTCTTCCATTTTGCGTCAGAAACACAACGGGAAAGCGAGCATCTTTACGCTGTTGTGAAGGAGCTGAAGGCTATAAACCATGACACGGCGAATGAAAACCGGATGTTGCGTACTTCCCTCATGCAGACTCAACAAGAAATTGCGGACATTAAATCCGAGTTAAAGCGTCTTCGAATCCAGCGCGGACTCGATCTCATAAAGCCCACTACTGGCTTTCTTCATTCAGGGCAGCATGCGGCCGCCGGCGCTATAACTCCTCTAGTCGCTTCAAATACGATTTGCAAAAACGCATGATCACACACAGGCAAACAAGGAGTACGAGGCGTTGCGATAGCGGAGTTTCAAAAAGTCATGGACATGATACATGTAGTTTGGGAGTCTTCGTCATAGCAATCCAATTTGCCAAGTGACATGGAACATCAGGCTACTTATGCCAGTACTGTAATGGCACACGTCACACATTCTCCTCCGCAATTTTAGTAACGTCACTCACGCACATATGGCTAGCTTCACAAAACCGTGAATGAAGTGAGAGGAAGGAAATTCGCGTACCGTCAAATGATTGCAAACGATACTGATATCATCGAAAAGAACTTTGACACGTGAAATAGAAACCCGATTCTCTGATCGTATAGAGCATTTATTAGCACTTACAGACTTTTGCTATGTAGCCATCTGAAAATTTCTCAACTTTTGATAATCAGAAATCTTACCGAGACAACTCCTCTTGGGCTCAGCTTCCTAGCGTAAAGCTTTGTTGCCCGTTTCCAAGTAACAAGCTTCCCATGTTTCGCCGCACCTCCCACGAGATATGTACATCATACTCACGATGGTTAGTTGATGTCCGTCTAAAGCCTATATTTCCCTTTATGGTGTCACCCTCCGTAAGCACCTCGTTTGGTGCTCCCGACAACCAGAAAAGCGTCTGATGCCAGTGAGTATCGTTTGACTCGGGTCGCGTGGAGAAACTTACAACTTGCTGACCCAGTAGGTTTTCGAAGAAAGTGTCAAAGGAGACCACCAAGCCGCATAAGGGTAAAGGTTCGATTTGCGAAGCTTGAACATCCAGCACGAAGTCGGCCTCGAAATCAAGGTCCCGTGCTTTCACAGTGTAGAGATCAAAATCTTTGAAGATGAAAGCGTCAGTAAGTATTGCCTCTTGATATACACTTTCCACAGCCGGCTCAGACATGACCGCGGCCCGAAGAGGGCTCATATCCAAGCCGTACACGTCCGACCACCAGCTCAGTCGGCGCTCCACGTCGCTTACTCCCTGAATAACCATTGAGCAACGGCTGGGTAGCATCAAGCCGCCCGGACGCAAATATTTGTCACGCGCTGTCAATACACTCAGCAACATGGACTCGTACAAGAGGCAGTAGCCCATCCATTCTGAGACAATTACGTCGACTTCAGCCACGGGGAGCCTTATCTCCTCGATCTTGCCTTGAATAAGTTTAACTTTGTGTCCCATACCATTGAGTTGGACGATAGCTCTAGCCAGTTTCACAATTTCACTACAGTCCACACCAAAAACTAGATCTGCCCCTGCTTTTGCGGCGAACATTGAAAGCACACCGCTACCAGCACCGACATCCAGGACCACCTTACCAGTCATACCTGCCTGAAAAATTGCGTCGCGATAGGCATGTGTACGCACTCTATCTTTGAGCATGGTCTCATGAATAGCATGGTGGTTATATGATCTGAAGTAGTATGTGTCATTGTCTGGGGCCTGAGGTGTCGATGACACTCGCACGTCGTCGTCAACAGCCGCCATGAGCATGCTCAGCCGGCGCAGCCGTGCATGTGCTTCCCTCAAGTCTGTGCGTAAACTTTCATTTTCTTGCATAAGAAATTCAGGATTTGAATCTGGACCTTCTGCCTCCATGGTGATGTTGCCACATGCCTTATCTTTTGACTCGTCACCTGTTCGGCCATCTCCCTCTCGCGAAAGAACTGCGTCATCCATACCACGCGCCTCGAGCAACTTTCCAAGTCCATACAAGAGAGGGTCTTCCTGAATTATAGGCTGCAAATATATTTCGTCTTTTAAAGCAGCAATCAAACTATCTGCGTCCGTAACCCGAGCTACGATGTCCTCTGCAGAAATACCTCGCTTGGCGAGGGTGCGGATAAAATTTATTAGCTTCATTGCTCCGTACAAATCTAATTGATGGCTGTTCAACAGCCCAAAGAAATCAAGGCCCATTACTCGGTCAGCAGCTAAAGCGGCCTCAGGAGAGATTTCCTCGGTATCGGAAAGGAGACATCTTGTGGGAACCTCATCAGGGCCCTCATCTACCCAGTCGTTCCATTCTTCATCGCCTCGCGCGCAAACGTTGATAGAGCTGTCATCACTAACGCTTGCTATGCTAGAGCCATCATTCTCGTGGCCATCCATCATTACACGCTGCCTGGCGTTTTTAAACCTGTACGACGAGCGTCGATACACGTGTGAGTAGACAGACGGAAATGCAGGAAGATACAAGCGCAGAGCTCATGACTTTACCGAACGACAAAGTTTTTTTTCAGTCCTGCAGAACGTATTCCGGATAAGTGCAGATTAGAAGGATCTTTACGACCAGTGAGAAATACAGCGGCCAACATCGATACCAAGCAAATCTTGTACTCAAGCCTGAACTAACCTCCCGACCCCCAGCATCGATGCATCTGGCTCATCGCTCATGCGCCGTGGCTACGTACACGCTCGCACCATAATGCCGACCTGATATTACTTTCTGCATGCAAGGCCCTCTTAAATATACATTCTGCGTGCGCATTCGCTGACAGATTCAACTCTTAGCACCAGCGAGCAGGTTGGGCATCCTCTTAGTTTTGGGGGCCTCAAGCGCTAGAGGAGAAACCCGCCTTATTCCCTACCGTCGTGGGATGGGGGTTGGCCACTTTAGAAGGCTTTTACTTGTTGTAAAACATACGCCTTATGAAATGTATTTGCAAATGAAGTCTCAAGGCAAGGCACCGCTGGCATTACGATGGGAGCGCTTAAAGCATCGTCATCAAGTCCATAAGGAATGTGTCCAGGATTTGAGCGATCTGCTGCGCCGCATGGATATGGACTTCTCTATGGTTGGACGAGAAGAATTGGACCGACAGCACCTGAAAAACGTTGACTTGGTGGTTGCGGTTGGTGGGGATGGTACAGTACTATCTTGCTCTCATTTTTTGGATGATACAATCCCCCTACTTGGCGTAAACAGCGACCCTTCCCGGGACGACGAGAAAAAGGTCAATAAAAAGCTCGATGAACGTCGAAGCTTTGGAGCCCTTTGCGCATGTACAGCGTCTAATATGTTTGAGGTCATTCCTGACATACTTCATGGGCAGAATCAAGCGGGCAGGCGGACACGCATACAAACCGTTGTGCGCGATGCTTTGAAAGAGACTAAGCTACCTCCGGCCTTAAACGATATTCTCGTTGCTCATCCTATTCCTGCCGCCGTTTCTCGTTTTCGCTTAGGATTCTTGAACAGTGCAGGAGATGAAACGTCCCATTTTAATGTATGGTCCAGCGGTCTTTGGATCTCGACTGCTACCGGCTCCTCTGCAGCCATGACAGCAGCCGGTGGCGTGCTTATGGACCTGAAATCAAGCGAGTTGCAATATATGGTCCGTGAACACTTACTTGAGGCCGGTGGAGAGCATCTAGAAAAGGAAGGTCATGGTATGCTCCAGCCAGGCAATACTTTGCAAATGCGCTGGAATTCTCAGCATGGCTGCGTTTATGTTGATGGCAGCCATGTGCGTCATAATTTACAATTGGGAGATACTGTTAGTTTGTCGGCGGATGCGCCTCCAATTTGGCTTTTTGAGAAGCCTGAAGGTATATCCGGACCGACACAGTGAAGAACTGAGAGCCTGTGGGGAGCTTGTTTTTGCGAAAGGAATTAAGGTTCTGACGAGATGTACGCTCATACACGGAAAGTCTCAATTTCCTCCGCATACTTTATAAATTATCTTCAATCCAACCATGTGCTCCACAAATTTAAAGGTGCTAATTACATTGTACCTTCAAAATCTCATACAAAGCATCTTTGCATGGAGTTTTTTTTAACAAAAATTTTCCAAATGACTGTGAGGGTTCCGTGATGCTGCGAATTGAATTTTTTGCCCTCCGAAATAAACGAGAGAAATCGCACAGAATTTTAGCTTTTCTGATAGAGGTTTTGAACTCAAGTAGAATGTCTCTTCATAGCACCTCGTTGAGGATCGTATCCTTTGCGCATACAGGACTTTAAACACACCTTTCGTCACAGTAGGCTTGAGCATTTACTCACATATTTGTGTGGGTACAGACGACCTCATAGAGTACTAGATATTTCGCAAGTTTCCGACCACAGGATTCTTGTCAGCCCGCCATTGCATGCTGAAGGGCAATGACGGCGCTCGCAATTTTTCCACTCAAGGCTGCTTTTGCAAGCTCAAGTGCTTCTAGTGACGTTCCTATCTTTTCCTCCTCCTCTTTCTCGGTATCATATTGATCCATGCCTCGTTTTTTATGTAGAAGTCTCGGGATCGTCAGAACTCCACGTTGTACTTTTAAAAGAAGGGCAAGAAGAGTTCGCTCCATTTCAAGAGCTACGAAGCTCATCACTTTATCCCTATCGTACGATTGCATTTGAGAGAACTGTTTATCTGCGCACTCCTTCAAAACAAACAACATTGCAACCGCTGACTTTAGAAGTACGTGGTCTTGGCCTGACAAAACTTTTCTTTTCCCGATATCCCTGGACGATGAAATTCTAGGTATCTCCTCGATTGTTTCGTCATACGACACCATTTGAATGTGATGACTGATAGCTGATATAGACTCCTTCCACGCACCGCGAACCACATCATCGGCAAAATTATTCGGACGTTTCTTCTTACCTAGCTCTGCATTCCAGCTCCTTGGCACGATTTGTCCCGATGAAATATATCTACTTTTCCCATGTATAAGTAAGCGACCAAAAGCTGACTTAAAAGCCACATTCGAGCGTCGAAAAGCATGGAATATCCAGTGATATTCTTGAATCAATAACGACGAATCGTTCCATAAAATATCGTTTCGAAGCGCTGAAATTGAGTCTGTTGATTTAGGATGAAACAATTTATTGCGATCCCTAAGGCCATAATTTGCGCCTGAAGATCCGTAAGATTTTCGAGTGTTCATAGGAAGTGAGTTCCTTGGTGACTTGGATTCTAATGACTTCCTCACTTGCCGATCGAATGTTTCCAGAATTTCGAGTAAAATCTCTTTGCGATGTAACATCCGTAGAGTGAAAATCATAAGCTGCACAACTTCTACTTTTCCTTGGTCGGCGGGAGACGAAAAATCGATTGATTTTGAAAAGGATGCCCATGAGATGTTGTCGAAACCACTTTGCCCAAAGGACGAGCCCTTTGTTGTTGTGCATGCTTGAAAAAAATGTTTGTTTCCAGCCTGAGTAGGAAAAATCCCATCGCTTGGGTCCGACGAAGTGTTGTGCGTGAATGATGGAATCCCTTGTATGGAAAGTTCTGTGTCCGCGCACAAAATGGTACCAAGACTTGGATCCTCGAACTGGATTCGGTAACGACTTATATCATAATTGGCAGTCAAAATCTTGCCGCGTCCAAGAAAGTTTCTTTTGATGTCGTAAGCTTGTACATTACTCCCCACTGTCAAATATAGAGGCATTTGGTTCTCGAGATCTACAACATAAGAGAATCAGAAATAGAATGAGGTCCATGATTTAGCGCTACGAGTCTCAAAAGTCACAAGAAGTGTACCTTAAAGACACATGGATATCGCTAGGATTACTGACCAAAATGATTTACCGACTGCCGTTGAGAGATTCGAGCCATGCGTCTGAATTTATGCAGCTTTTGCCGCTCTTGGCGGAGGAAAAGTGGGCTCAAACGTCGACGCCGGCCAAAGAATAACCGAACAATATCCCACTCCGTCCGGGAAATCTTCCGGATGTGTCTTAGACCAAGCTCATCCAACCTTTTGCCAAAGCAATTGCTATTCAAATAGCCTCTGTCCACGGTTGCATAAAAAAATTCAGTTACAGCAAAGCGGCGCACAGATGTGGATAGCGATTGCGCCAGTGACCTCGGGCGGTGATCACTTGTCGGGATACGCCTGTGACCTTTCTTGAAGGATACTAGCATTTGTCTATAGAAGTTTTCTGATATGTAAGGGGAGGGATTGCTGCTGTCTGACAGCTCCATCTCCGGTCGATAAATTCGTCAAAATGCTACATTATGTGGTTAGAAATCAGAATCCTGCATGAGATATACTGTTATGAGGCCAAGATTTCATTTTCATGGCTTTGCTGGCACATAAAGTACCCTGATATCTCCACTCATTTTTCGATAGTCGCCTCCCTGCAGTCACGACTTCTTTTCTAATTATTGTTCGTATCTGGGAGGTGAAAGAAATGTATCGTTCGCATGAGGCTGATCACTCTTGGCTTGTATCCATTCCATCTTCGACCGAGCGCTTAAAAAAGCTCACATACTGTGTAGCAATTATCTCCGTTTCTACTGCAATATTACCTCTCTGTCATGGCAGGGAATGAAAAAACTGCCGGCGTGGATAGCCGCGTCATATCTCTCTGAACACATAATATTCGGGATGCCCCTAAAACATGGACTTCTGACAGGTGTGATTACTAAGCTTCAAGCCATTTGTTGTGATTGACGCAAAGCCTCAAAGTTCATCGGCGTCCGCCGCAATCGCGGGGCGCTATCCCAATTAATTAGGGATAGAAAACAAGGAGGCGAGGGTCTTGAAGTCCCTCGGAGGACTCCAACAGGGAGAAGCGAGCGAGGAGGTTAAATGGGTGGGGGGAGTCGAGAGGCGCGGGAAAAAGCGAAGAGACTGTCAAGTCTTCCCAGCTCATGGTAGAGTGAAACCAAATTGGACTGATACTTTTTAAATTGTAAAACACGTTTAAGACGGAGGATAAACGTCTGCTTTTGGTTTTCGAAAGGATAGCAGATAATGGACGGTAGGGCCATCTCTTAGAACAACTTCATTGTGAATGACGATTACTTCTTCTATTGTGAAGTTTATAGCTTCTGTCCGGCTCGTGATCAGCAATTTGTACGGAAGAATTACCTGCTACTCTCCAACTCTTGCTCTGCATAATGGAATAACGACCTTGTTTACGTGCACTGCCCTCGAAATTTCTACTATACGGGGAAGCTACAAAATCGGATCAATGAAATTGAGCCTTTCTCGCGCGCGCACACACACATGCATCGCACACACGCGCTACACGAACAACGCACATTTATTTATTTATGTATATGTGGGATATGAAGGCAAGTACGACAACACTTTGTAAATGAGAGTTTAGCAAGTTGGTCCTGAGATAAGCAAGTGGCCAAGCTAGAGGTATAGATTAGCCGATATCACTTCATCCCATTAGATAAGCTGTGATTTGTTACGTTTTCTCGACTAACGACCAGTCCATCGTCAATCGGCCAAACTCCTGTAAGACAGAAAGTTCACGGGGCTTACAAAAATTCGAACGCTTTCTGCGAATGTCGATAGGGAGATGGCTTTGTGTGCATTTTTTAGAGAAGATGAGAAGGAAGAAAAACTGGCAAGAATAAAGTCTTCCTCGCGTAGCATTCAGTAATTATTTCCCCGCGGAATGAATTATATCTGTCAATCAGACGTTAAAGATCCTCACAACCTTTTCTGATGTTCCGAGGAAGGCTTTCGTTGAATTTTATTGAGACGTTTTGTGGCACGCCTGTCCAAGTTGTGCAATATGCGAAAATAGCTCTCTCTTTCGCCCAGATATATACCTCTTTACGGTCTCGAAGCTGCGTAGGCCAAATATGGCATCAACTCTTATGCTGGCACGAGAAGTTATACCTGAGTCCCTGTCGCCTGAGCTATATCGAGATTGTCCGAGGCTGGACGCACGAAGAGCTTGAGTCCTGCCCTTGGCAACACATGAGAAATACTATGTTGACTTTTTCCAAGCCCGGTTACATCATTTTGGCGATGCTACGATCGGATAGACTAAGGATAATTTATTCTATCCCCCTTCGTACACGAAAATGAGCATAGAAGCTCGGAAGAACAATATCCCTGCGCCACAATTAAGTGCTGGGACATATCTGGTTTTCACTTATATATATTCTGCTCTGGCTTCTGTGGCTATGAAGGAGCTATTGTTGCAGCGATTATGTTGGTAGTCCCACCGCTTGCTTTTTTTTTAGGGCTAGGTGGTCCACAAGAGGGGTTTCCTTCGATTGCCTCGCCGCGTCTTGCAGATATGTATTCAATGTAAGGACGCACGTTAGCTTCGTGCGTGACGCTGCGGGCGTTGCCCATAATGTCTCACAATGAAGATTAGGCTATTCGTCAATTTTGCCAGCCGTTCAATGAGAGTTCCTTGCAGGCGAAGCCGGAAGGCGCCGATTGCCGCTATCTCATCTTTTCCCCCAAAAAATGCTGGAGAATAAGTTCTAAAATAAGAATTGTCGTTTCCTTAAATGCCTTCAAGCTCGACGTTGGTGGTGCTCATGGCTTACAGCCAGCATGTTCCTGAACCAGAGAGACGAGATATATGTTTGGGGGACTTAAAGTTTTATGTCATCGATGATCAACCCGTACCTAATCATCGGAAAGAGGACGGCGATTTTATAGGGCCACATTGCGATAATCGCTTGAAAGCCTTAGATATCAAATATTTGCTTTTTTGTCTCTCGGCCACGTCGCTCTATCCTTTTTATCTCTTCGTCTATTGGCGTCACGTTGTCATTCGTGTTGTCGTTCTTTTGCATATTCTTGATTCGTCCTCTTAACTTGCTCTCTT